ATTGAAACCCCTGCATTATTGTGTGTGAAACCTCTTGCATGGGACTGGGCATAAAAGCCATTTATGTGACAATAAATTTCAGTTGTACTCCCAGAACTGTGTGTCATCCAGTTGCTGGGGAGGAGATGGGATATTACTTGGCTGTTTTACTTGTTCTTGACTTTACTTGTGTGGATCCAGCGGAGAAGATTCCCTGCTAGGACAAGGGCTCCGCTACATTGGTTGGCAGCATCTGGATCCAGAGCCCACGGAGGAGCAAGAGCCAGAGTGGATGTTTAGTGTGGTGGGACACTGCAACGAAGTACCATGCCCACTGAATATTCAAATGTTTTGCCTTTGTATATTGTGTTCCCAATGCTTATTCCCACTGGTCTCTTGTATTCTGTGTTTCCCCATGTATTTGTGTTTTTTACCTGCTCCCCATACGGGAGAGCTCATATGAATGGAACCTGTTAGCCTCCCGAACGGGTACAACCCCGATACCTCAGTTAGAATGTTAGTATAGAACATTCACACCTTGTAACGAAATATGAAAATCACAAGCCGCCGGTTCATATAACCGAACGCCAAGCAGGGAAAGCATTTGTTTCCCGAACGGGCCTGCCACACGGTTTCAGGTCCCTGAGTCAGGGATCGCCCTACCTGCTCCTAGCGGAGCTATAATCACTATTTGGAGAGAAAAAACAAGTAGCAAGAGAGGTGAGAACAGGTAACGGCTCAATTAGCCTGCCCTTTAGTGGGTCCCCGCTAAGATCTCAAGCTGGGTTTAGCTCAAATTGTGCCATTACAGAGAGAACATATCTGAAGCATATCAGACTTTATTTTTTAATATAATTACTTTTTCCCCTACCTGGCAGCTATGGTGCAACCAGGCATCGCACCCTTTCTTCTGATTGATGTGGCGAAACGCCTCTCCTCCCTGTGAGCTGATTGGCGCGGTTCGGTTTCAGCCTTTCAGCTGATTAGTTGTGCTTGGTTTAGGCGTGAAGTTTGAATTCGCTTGACTAAACCAAGCAACTTCATGGAACTAATTTCGGGGATTTACAGAGCCTCAAATCCCAGACTTTAGACAGTGATTTCTTGGGCTCTGTACATCCGATCCCTCCGATATTTGCAGGGATCCCAGATGGGACCTGGGGCTATCCAGGGTTTTATCTATGTGACCGCTTCCCATCCTAGGGCACATAGCCCCAAAGGTCACCCCCATATGGAATATGTTTTAATGTGTGTGCTGTTGGTATCTCCCAGAATGGGAGATTGCTATCTGTAACACTGTGTTGATCTGAATGGAAACTCCCTGCGAAGGTCTGTGCATAAAAGCTGTGTGCTCCAAATAAGGATTGTCAGTGTTTTAACCTCCAGAACTGTGTGTCATCTGGTTACCGGAGGAAAGGAAAATGTAACCCCTCTGTCTGCTGTTCCAGCTTGCAGGAATGCAGCGGGGAAAGTACTTGTAAGGACTAAGAGTGCTGTCTCTTCCTGGTGGCGCATAGAGCTAGTTCCCCTACCCATTTTCCCTGGTTCCAGCTAGGAAGCAACCCCTCTGGCAGAGGTACCCAGCTGGGGTACAGGGAACTCCACTACAACTAGTGGCAAGCAGTGGGATTGCTTCGTAGCCATGGGGAAAAAGACTCGTTGTTGGAGACACCCATCTAAGGGAAGTAGGGAAAAGAAAGGCACAAGCTCCCGTGCAGTGCCCCCCTACGAAGAGAGATACCAGCAGAAACTGCAAGAACAGCTGGAGGAGTATGGATAACCAGCCTCTAACGTGAATGAACCAGACCTTAGGGACCAGATCCGAAAGGAACTCTGGCATGAAAACCTTGGGATGCTCCAGGTTCTCCAGAGGGAACCCCTCCCAACTCCAGAACAGCGACTGCAGGATCAGCTGGACCTGTGGATACCTCTCCTGGGAGAGCAGCCCTTGGAGGAATGGGTGGGGGAACTAGAGAGGCTGGTCTGGAAAGAACTGTGGATCAACAATGCTTACTGAGCCTTATGATGGCATGCCGTCCAGCTGTACCTGTGGCTAGTCGAGGGCTACCTGCTCTTGGCCCGGAGGCCCACGTCTCCACAATTGTCTGTTCCTGGGAGACCATAGGAAGAACCAACTCTTCCCCTTGTGGGGTGCTCATGGAGACCAGGTCCCAGCCACCACACCCTCCGTACCCATGGTTATCTCTCCTGATAACTCACACTGCCGCTGGTGAATGAGACTGGTTGTCTTCATTCCCTGAACCTTACACTGCCGCTGGGGAGCAAGAATGGAAGACTTCTCTCCCAGGTCTTCACACTGCCGCTGGGGAATGACACCGGTTGTCTCCGTTCACTGTACTTCACACTCCACACTCCCACTGGGGAGTGTCTCCATTCCCATGCACTCACACTGCCACTGGGGAGGAAGGGTGGGGCTCCATGCTCCCGGGGTTGCAACGTCCATATGCGCCATTATTCCCGAGCAAGGTAGTGTTATGCATTGGAATAGGCATATATAGTCCTGTTCAAGATCCCACTCCTGGTCTACCAGATGGTCCAGATCCAGCTGTAGTTCAGCTATCCCTGCCAGAATCAAGCAGTCTTCCCGTTCCTCTCAGATGTCCCGGAAGCTAGAAAGGTCCATGTCTCCGAACTGAAGGGATCTCCCAAATAATCCCAAAGGAGACCAGGGCCATCATAGTTGTGTCCCTCTGGAGTCATATCCCTCTGGTCTGTGCATAAAAGCTCTGTGTTCCAAATAAAGATGGTCAGTGTTTTACTGGAGGAAAGGAAGATTTAACCCCTGTGTCTGCTGTTCCAGCTTGCAGGGGATGCAGCTTCCAGGAGCGCATAGAGCTAGTTCCCCTACCCATTTTCCATGGTTCCAGTTAGGAAGCAACCCCTCTGGTGGTGGTTCCAGCCGGGGTACAGGGAGCTCTGCTACATTTAGCAGCACCAGATGGACCATGAATGGAGATGGACTATACCTTCCTGAAACAGTCCACGCTAAAGAAACTCCTGGAAGCAAAAAGGATAGCAGTAAGTAACAAGAAAAAGGTCACCCTCATTGCCAAACTGATGGCGGAATACCGAACAGACGGTGCTTCGGTTAAGCACGCATGGGAAATGACGGATTTTCAAAGAGAACTGCAATTCCGTCTATCTTTCTATGGAGAGAATCCATCGACAGCTATTATTGCCTGAACTATGTAGGAGGTCCAGAAGTTTGTGCTGAAACAGAACATCAAACTCCCGAAAGGACCCAGGCAGTGACAATGGTACCAGATAGTAAGCCCAAAATACCTTATGGTGCACTTAAAAACTTTGATATTGATGCCTTCCTCCAAGACTTTGAGAGACAATGTACACTGCATAGGATCAGTCCGGAATACTGGGTTCCCCTGTTGGCTAGTAGGCTGTCCGTGAGGATATACGGAACTATGGTCGGGTAAAGGCAGTGATACTTGCCAGGCATGCAATCACTCTGGAGGCATACCACAGGTGGATCAGAGACCGAAAGAATTCTGAAAAAGACTCTTATGCAGAATGAGCCTGCCGATTATACCGAGCCGCCCTGGGATGGGTACAAGACGACAAAGTAAGCACAATGGAGGAACTGTTACATTTTTTAATGGACTGGCTTCAGAAATCCAGGAGTAGGTAAGGGATCGCAACCCCACTACCATCACAGAAGCAGCAAAGTGGGCAGAGGAATATCTGGATGCCCACCAACCTCAATACCGGTCCAACCCAAAGCCTTGCCTCGATCTACAGCAGTCCCTCCTGGACCAGTGGCACAACCCAGGCAACTCTGTACCTTCAACACCCCACCACCATGCTTCCAACAGCAGAGCCAGGTACAGTGCTTATATCTACAGCAGAATGGGGGGGTCAAAAAAGCAAAAACCCAGACACAAATATATATGTATGGTAACAAACTCCCCTTTTTCAAGTGAATTTGGAGCTTGTTAACACATATTAACAACTTGGAACGTTTTTTACAACATTGTTCTAATTGAAGAACCCCGAGGTGGTGGCCATCTTGTTCGCATGAATGCTGACAGCGGTCTTTGGGCATGAATCTCATGGAACTGAAATCGGATACAGAAACTCCCGAACACTGCTGAACTTCCATCATCGCCTGCATTCGTTTCTATTCAGCTTAGAAGGGCACTGTTCAGTGAGATCATTCGTCTGGATGAAGGGAACAAGCCCCAGGGTAAGAATATTGACTACGTTCGGTAGTTTGTTTGCTTGCAAACTACTGAACTAGACCAGCCGCAAGCCCTGATTCTCTGGAACTGTTTTGGGCATGAAATCAGGCGTGCGGTCGGTCAAAAAAGACTTCCAGGAATTTCCTGAACCCCTGCTCTGATCTTGGTGATTTTTGGATATGTTGTTCACCCAGATCAGGTCTATCATGGGATGTAATATTTATGGGGATATGTTATGTTTTCTGTACTTTGTGGAAATTGTGTGTTTTTCTGCCTGTGATAATTGGGTTATTGTATGATCTACATTAATTGTATCACAGGCAGAGGGGAGGGATTGTGTAATGTATGTGGGAGGGTCGTTCATTTTTATTGGATTGCTTGTTTTGTGTCCTATGCCCAACAAGGTCCACCTGGTCTTCAATCTTGTTGAGAAACTTGTATAAAGGCCAGTGTGCCCCATTAAACAGATATCCCTGCCTACACTCCAAAACTGTGTGACGTCCAGTTATTGGAGGGAAAGAAGATTTGCTCCTGTGTCTGCTGTTCCAGCTTGCAGGAGATTCAACGGGGAAAGTCCTTGTATGGACGAGAGCTAATTCCAGAGTTCCCAAGAATGAGTGTCGTCCTGTGCCTGGAGGTGTCAGAGCTAATTTCCCCTTCGGCTCCAGGAGGGAGGTGGCAGTTCCAGGGCCCCAGTCAAACTACGGCGACTGAGGGCAAGAAGTACTGCGGTTTGTCCCCTGGTCCAGCTAGGAAGCGGTCCTTCCTTGGCGGAGGTACCCAGGCGGGGTGCCAGGTGATCCGTTACTTGTGTGTGTGTGTGTGTGTGTGTGTATATATGTATATGTATATATATATATATATATATATATATATATATATATACACACACACACACAATATATACACTTTTATTTACCTTCCAATAAAAAACGGTCAACGTTTCAGCTTCATTCCCTCAAGCTTTCATCAGGCCAAGCTTGAGGGAATCAAGCTGAAATGTTGACCATTTTTTATTGGAAGGTAAATAAAAGTAAAATTTTATATAAGTCCTTGGAGTGCTATCCTTTGCAATTTTTGTATTCTTGGCTGTACAAGCACCGGGCACTATACACCCTGTTCCAAATTATTATGCAAATTCTATTTAAGTGTCACAAAGATTAAATATTTTGTTTTTCAGTTTAACTCATGGATGGCATGGTGTCTCAGGGCTCTTTTGATCACTGAAAACAATTTCGGACACCTGTGATAATTAGATTGCCAGGTGAGCCCAATTTAAGGAAAACTACTAAAGGAGGGTGTTCCACATTATTAAGCAGAGCACCATTTTCATGCAATATGGGGAAGAAAAAGGATCTCACTGCTGCCGAAAAAAGGGAAATAGTTCAATGCCTTGGACGAGGTATGAAAACATTAGATATTTCACAAAAACGTAAGCGTGATCATCACACTATAAAGAGATTTGTGGCTGATTCAGAGCACAGACAGGTTTGTGCAGATAAAGGCACATTGAGGAAGGTTTCTGCCAGATCCAAGCATCGGATCAAGAGTAGAGTTGAGCAACCCGGACTGTAAAGTTCAGGTTCATACCGAACATTAAGTTATTTAGACCCCGGACCCATACACGGACATATCACTGTATATTCAGGTTGGAGTTCGGTGTTCAGCAACTTAATGGTGCATTTTGAAAGGCTGCAGGGCAGCCAATCAACAAGCGTTTGACTTGTGTGCCCTTAAAAGGCATCACAGCCATGCCTACTAATGGCATGGCTGTGATTGGCCAGTGGAGCATGCGAACCAACCTCTATATATAAGTAGGAATAGCGTAGCGCCGCATGCACATGAGCTCTTATTAGTGTAGGAAGAGGATGCTGCCGCTTTCAGGGACAAATTAGGAAAGAATTCTGCAAACTAGTACATTAGTGGGGTGTACTTCATATCTGAGACTCAAATAGAAGCGTCAAATACTGTGGTTACATCGGAGTTTTAAAAAGTCAATTTTTTTGGGTGCTAAATAGTATATTAGTGGGGTGCCCTTCATATCGGAGAGTCAAATAGAAGCGTCAAATAGTGCGCTTACAGCGCAGTTTGAAACATTCTTATTTTCTGGGTGCTAATCTGCTAAATAGTAAATTTGGGGCATGCTCTTCATATCTGAGAGTGAAATAGAAGCGTCAAATAGTGCTGTGACATAGCATTTTTAAACATTCACATTTTTTGGCTGCTAAATAGTACATTTGCGGCCTGCGGTGCACTTCATATCTGAGAGTCAAATAGAACCGTCAAACACTGTGGTTACAGCGCACTTTGACCAATTCAAATTTTATGGACTTCATATCTGACAGTCAAATAGAATTGTCAAATACCAATATAACAATGTTGTAATTCGGGGGCAATACCCTCACAAGTCAAACTGAGAGGTCAGTTTATAGGGAAAACTGTTGCCTGGATACAATTCTAAAACAATTGCCATATGTCCTTTGCAGACTTTACATGTGGGAAAACACAGGTGTCAACTGCTGTGGCTTTCTGCAGTGTGCAGACCGGCAAGGAGGGCAAGGTTGAAGAGTGGGTGGAAGATAATGTGGAGGATGATGAGGTCCTAGACCCCACATGGAATCAAGGTCATGCGAGTAAAATGTGTAGTTTGGAGGAAGAGGCGCTGGTCGCACAGAGGCACCAGCACAGCATAAGAGGGAGCAGGGTGCAAAAGTGGAGCGGCCATCCCATAGCACTCATCGGCATGTATTATCTTTAGAATTCCCACAGTTATCCAAGTAACAGATGGAGTGATAAAAGGAACCATAACAGATTTAACTAGCCATTCTCAGTTTCGCAGTGCGGTGACCGGGACCCAGTATGCCTTATGTTGAGGTTAGGAGTCACAGTGTGGAATGGATTAGCAGGGTCTGGTGCAGGGTAATCGCACGCCCACTGGTGTTGAGCACCAGCGTTTGTGTGGCCACATACCAGGACCCTGATGCAGGTTCAGTAAAAAGAGTACTGGATACAAGAAGCCATCACCAGACTGATCCGCAACTTGGAACAGGATGTGACATTTACTGTAGCAGCTGAGCGCGCTTTCGGCGTTCTCACCCTTCTGCTACTCGCCTGTCTGCGCTGCGGCGTAACTTTGGCCTTCCCACTCACCGCCTCATATGCGACGTTCCCACAAGGTGGAACTCCACCTTGCACATGCTGGAGAGACTGTGCGAGCAGCAGCAGGCAATAGTGGAGTTTCAGCTGCAACACGCATGGGTCAGTCACTCTGCACCAGACTTGCCCTCCAATTGATCAGAGTTAAAGGATTTCAAGTGGATTCATTACAATTACAGGGCCTCTAAAGAGTCCTGTATTGTTAGTTGTCGTCACTACTTTCCTGCGTCAGGAGTGGGTCATTTGCGTGCCTGCTGCCTTCCTTGCATGTGGTAGCCATTTCTCAGGCTCCCTCTCCGGAATCAAACCCTGATTCCCCCTTACAAGTGGTCACCATGGTAGGCGCAGTAAATGGCATCCTTATGTTGATATGGATTTCATACGAATGCGTCGTTGGGGAGCCCATTGAAAAAAGTGCTCTAGCATGACGAGCTGGGTGATCTCCTCCGGGAACTTGGCTTGATGGGAGCTAAGCCAGTTCTGGGATTGTGATGTGGCATGCCCACTCCGCATGGGAGTCCTTCTCCCCTTTCCGGGTCTACCTAAACGTTTGGCGGTATTGCTCAGGGGTGACCGCATACCGGGCCAGGAGGATTTAGGTAATAAAGGGATAGTCTCTGATCTGCTCTTCTGGTACAGCCCGGTAAATATCCGCTGCCTTCCCCACTAGTTTGCTGGCCAGGATGGTGACCCAGTCGCTGGGGTCCACGTCTTGGAGTAGGCACTGGCGCTCAAAGTCTTGTAAAAAGTAATTGATGCCTTTTTCTGCTTCCTTGAAGTCTTTGAAGACATTGTATAGTAGCTTGTGTGCCAGGGAGGCTGTGCTTCCCGGTGCCCTCTGCTCCCTTCTTCCTTCATCTGTGTTCATGGAGGTCGCCCTCTGTCTATTGGCAAGGACATAGGATTGCACCTCCAAAAAGGTCCTGCTGACAATCTCCTCTGAGGGTGGCTCTCGGTAATATGCCAGGTACCGTTACACCTCCTTGCGCACTTCCTCCTCATTTCCGGCCCCTGGCTGGGGTTCATTGCCTCACTGTGTGCCTGGTCGTCCTCCATGAGCGCAGCAGTCAATTCGGCCTCGTTACGCCCACCAGGTGTTATTTCTCTGGCTCCACACAAGTACTGCAGTGTAGGTCACTTTAGAGCACTGTAGTCCATGGGTCTGTTGGCAGGGACATGGGATCCCTCCGCTTGCCACCAATTGAAGCGGGATCTGGGTAACCGATGGTTATCCCCTTTGATTAGAATAGGTCAGACCCATTTCCCCAATAACTGGATGGGACACAGTTCCAGGATACAACGTTTGACAATCTTTATTCGGGTACACAGCTTTGCTTCCTGTTGCCTCCTCCTCCTCTACCACCTCCTCATCCGGTCAGTGTAACACCTTCACCACCAACTTCAGCACAGCCAGGGGGAAACGACAGCAGGCTGTATTCAAACTCATATGTTTGGGGGAAAAACCCCACACTGCGCAGGAGTGCTGAGCCTTAAGCCCGGCCCGGTTGTGTGTGATAATGGGCAAAATCTCGTAGCAGCTCTGGGCCTAGCCGGTTTGACGCACATCCCATGCCTGGTGCATGTGCTGAATTTGGTGGTGCAGAGTTTCCTGAAAAACTACCCAGATATATCAGAGCTGCTGCAGAAAGTGCGGGCCATCTGTGCGCGCTTTTGGCGTTCTCACCCTGCTGCTGCGTGCCTGTCAGCGCTGCAGCGCAACTTCAGCCTTACCGCTCACCGCCTCATGAGACTGTGCGAGCAGCAGCAGGCGATAGACGAGTTTCAGCTGCAGCACGCACGGGTCAGTCGCTCTGTGGAACAGAGTTTTCTTTTTTTGACTACCCCAATTTAAAAAAAAAAAATTACTTACACGTGTATATATATACACACATGCACATAGTGTTGGTTACCTCCTCCTCCTCCACCGCTGCTTCCACCTACACCACCACGGTCACCGCCTCCTCATCCTGTGGGTCACTTAGTATAAACTATGTACACAATAGCAGAGGCTTGTGAAGGCATTTTCTCCATGCATCAGGAGTTGAGCTCAGTTTGAACAATGAAAGAATACCCTGCATTCCAACCCTCTCTCAAATAGACAGCCATGCTTTAGAGTTTGATTGATCAAAGATTCCATCTAGTGCTATTTTATGGCTCAGCTGGATTTTTTATTTTTATGTTATTTTAAGTGATTTACCTATCCACATTTGTTTGCAGGGTACTTGTCCTACTTTTACCACCATTTTACTTCCTTTTGCAGCCCACTAGCCCTTTCCAGGACTTTTTTTAAGAGGCATTTTTGTGCCCAAACGTTCGGGTCCCCATTGACTTCAATGGGGTTTGGGTTCGAGGTCAAGTTTGATCCCGAACCCGGACTTTTTTTCAATGTTCAGCCTAAGCAGCCAGACCCGAACATCCAGGTGTCCGCTCAACTCTAATCAAGAGAGCAGCTGCTAAAAGAGCAGGCTGCTATGTTGGAGTTTGGCGCTGCAGCCCTTTGACATTAACATTCAGTACCGCCCGCAGGGCCGTCTTTAATAACGAATGGACCCTGGGCAAGTGTTTGCTTGGGCCCCCTGTGCCCTGCCGCTCTCGCCCCTCACTCCCTGGTATGCAATCACGGCATCCATCCCAACGCAGTGGCGGTACTAAAGTAGAATGAATTTTATTGGGACCCCAATTGCAAGGTTGGACTAAAGGTAGAACCCCATCTGTCGTGCAACTCCAACAATGCTTTGACAGCTGGGACTCTACCAATTTCCCATGCTTGCAGGGTTGTATTTAGCACTGAGCCATGTTAGTATGTTTGAATGTAAGCATGTGTTTGTATGGAGTATGTTTGTGTGAATGTGTTTGTATGTGGTACTGGAGTTTGAATGCAAGTGTGCATTTATGTGTAGTGTTTGTTTTTTGAATGTAGGAGTGTGCTTGTATGTAGTGTTGACGTTTCAATGCAGGAGTGTGTTTTATATGTAGTGTTGAAGTTTGAATGGAGGGGTGTATTTGTATTTAAAGTTGCGGCTCAGATGCACAGGTACACACTCTGACGCACAAGCAGATACACAGATACATACACTGACTACATACAGATAAACAGGCACATACACTGACAGACACACTGACACAGGTACATATATTGACACACACAGACACATACACTGGTAGACGTACTGACAGACATACTGACACAGGCACATATACAGACATACTGACACACAGACACATATACCGACATACTGACACACAGACACATATACCGACATACTGACACACACACACAGACACATACACTGATCAACATACTGACACACATACACTGACAGATATACTGACACCCACACACTGACAGATATACTGACACCCACATACACTGAGAAATACTGACACACACACACAGGCACATACACTGACACACACAGACTGATATACTGACATACACACACACACACCGACATACTGGCACACAGACAGATATACTGACACATGCATACACATGCACTAACAGACATACTGACGCACTGACAGACATACTGACACATACACATACTGACACACACAGATATACACACACATATATACTGACACACACACAGACAGACATACTGACACACACACACACACACAGACATGCTGACACACACACACATACACTAACACACACATACATTAACATACACTAACACACAGATACACTAACACACACACTAACACACACACACTAACACACATACACAAACACATACACTAACACACATAAACACACACAAACACATACAAACACACACACACTAACACATACATACACTAACACATACACACACAAACACACATTTTTAAAAAAAAATGTAATCCCCCCAGCCTCCTTACCTTTTGGAGTGCTGGGGGGATTCCCTGGGGTCCAGTGGTGCTGCTGACCCCGGCGGGCGGGTGGCCGGTCGGGCAGGAAGGCGGGCGCGCGAGGGAGCACTCACTGCTTCCTCTTCAGCTCCCTCGCGCGCCGCTTAGGGATGCCGGTATCAGCACTGAGTGCTCCCTCGCGCGCCCGCCTTCCTGCCCGACTGGCCACCCGCCCGCCGGGGTCAGCGGGGCCCACGGGGCAGGTGCCTCGGGCCCCCCAAGAGAAACTGGGCCCGGGGCAGCTGCCCCGTTTGCCCCACGTTAAAGACGGCCCTGACCGCCCGGGGTTGTCGAGACAAACAGACCTGGAGAAATGATCCATGAGCATCCCCGGACATCCCCATCCGTGTTGGATCAGACTGTGTATGCCGGCTTGTGGGCAAGGGGGAGCAATGTAGCGGATGGTATTAAGGCTGTCCTAAAAGACTGTGTTAAAACTGAAATTTGTGTGTTTAGTCTTCTGTATAGTTAAAACCATACAAATGAAAACTACCAAACCAATAGACCACCCCAGAGAGAAGTGTCCACCTCATTATGCTTCACACTTCTCTAACCGCAGGTTAATTGGTACTTTGTGCATTTATCTGGGTGGCCGCCATTCGGCATACAAACACGTGGCCGCGGCCATCTTACGCACGAAAACCTCAGGGGCTCCGTAACTCCGTAACGGGAAGGCTAATCAGCGAGACACTGATTAGACGGATCTACAGAAACCCTACACCAGCACAACCTCCAATATCGCTGAGGATACCCGGTAAAGCTGCTCATCAACAAGGACGGCAAGACACACATGGCCACATCCCACACAGAGGGCATTGAACTTCTCCAAGCATGGGGAATAACGGTGAACAACCCAACCACGCGTCAACCTCGCAGCATCAGAACGCAAGGGGAGTGGAAGACAGCTAAAACGAGGCAGAATGCTCAACGGATGGCGCAGTGATTAACACTGGACATTAACTGGTCGAGGTCCATGGTCAAAGCTTTGAACTGAGGGGACTGAGTGGGAAGGTGGGGAGAAAAGAGGGGACATATCACATTGATTACAGGGAAGGTCACCATGCCCTAGCATCCAAAAACTAACGCACAACCTCACAAACGTACAGTGCCCGGGCGGGCAATACACAACAGGGAATATGAACCTAGAGGGAACAAGGAGAAGGGCGAGATGGCTCCACCGCCCCCCTGGGAGCCCTCAAAATTCCCAGCCAGGCCAACAAGACAAGCAGGCATCCACACTTCATAAGGGAACGGACAAGGGCGACAAAACCAGATGAGAGTTTGAACCACACGATTAAAAAAAAAAAAGAAAAATACAAAAAATATATATATATATATAAATAAAAGAATAATCAAAAAAAAAATTATAATTTTTCGAACCTCATCCCAAACTACAACCTAGGAAAGGACCAAACTGAGGCGTGGACCAGGAGCCCCACACAGGTTCCCACGTGCACGACCGAGATGCATAGTCCTGAAAGGACACCATGCTAGGACCATAAGTCACAAGTTCTAAAACAGAAACCAGAAGGACACTGAGATGTGTCCCCACATAAATGCCATAAACACTAACACTAAAGGGCCATACTGCACAGCAGTCCTAGCAACAATGAGCCACAGCTTAAGAGAAATATAGATCAGAGACCAAGCCGGTAGGACCTGTCCACCTACCCCCAACCCGAGAAGGTTTAAGTTACAACCTTCACAATAAGATACCTGGTCACTTCAAATGTAGTGCCCATTTATTGTTTATGGTTTAAACTGTTTATTTTTATGTTATGTTATATAGATGTATGTCTCCTGAATGCTTATGTCCATACAACCCCCTGCTCACGCAAAGCGAGATTTCTACAAAGCCACAATGCCCAGAGGTGGCCCCACACCAAGGATCATATACAGAGAAACTTAACCCACCCTTCACAGCAGTACATGCAAAGCAGACTGCATGCGCCTCCACACCAGCATAGCTCACGCAGACGTGGGCGATCATGCTCACTCAGACAAACCAGCAGCCCCAAAGTTACACACTTACTTAACTTAAATTAATATGAAAATATACACACACAACGTCAGAGGGTTAAACACCCCACAAAAGAGACACACACTTCTCAAGGACCTTAAAAGCATTCAAGCTGATGTGGTGTGCCTACAAGAAACATACTTTCAAACAAACACTAGCCCCGTCTTGGGAAAGACACAGTACCCCCACCAATATCATGCCACCGCATCCACAAAAAGCGAAGGAGTCTTCATCCTACTCAGCCAACATTTAGCTTTTGATAAAATATCACTTAAACAATACCCACAAGGCAGATACATTATTCTGATCTGTACCATCAACAACTCCACCTATACTATAGTAAACGCATACCTACCTAATGTAAACCAAGGGGAGTACCTCTGTAACTTCCTGCAACTCATAACACAGCTCCAAACAGGTACCACTATCTTGTGTGGAAACTTTAACCAGATTCAGGACCCCATACTAGACTCCTCAGCGACACACAACCCGCAGAGCTAAAACACTTCACAAGAAGTGCAAAACTCTGACCAAACTTTTACTAACATACGGCCTATACGATACATGGCGCACACTGCACCCGAATGAGAAAGAATTTACACATTACTCCCAAGTGCACAACACATACTCAAGGATAGATGGCTTTCTGCTTCAAAGCATGCACCTCAATTGAGTAATAGCTTGCGACATAGGGACCTCATCCTAGTCGGACCACAATCCGGTTACACTTACAATTGCAGATCACTACAACTATAAAAACCGCGTCCCATCGCGACTAAATGACCAGCTCCTCAATGACCCCCACTTTGTCCACACACTGCAGCAGGACCTGCATACATACTTCCAATCCAACAATACTACTCACATCTCCCCCCTCACCCTTTGGATGGTTCACAAACCGGTCATTAGGGGAATTCTAATTACCTCAAGAAACAACAACACCAGGCACATATTCAAAATCTTAAAAAATTGCAAGACCTCCACAGAGCCAACCAAATCACTCCCTCGAAAACCACGCAAACTGCAATAACTGATCTGCAAAAACAAATCAACGTCACAAACTTTCAAAAAGCAAGTTATGCACTAAAAAAATTAAAATCCACTACCTTCGTCCTAGGAAACAGAGCTAGCAAAGCATTAGCCCAAAGACTTAGAGACAGGCAAGCACAAACTAAAATCCCCTTACCTGCTGTCCCCAACGGGACACAAACTAATCCAACCTACGAAGATCGGTAATGAGTTTGCAAATTATTACAGTTCCCTTTACAATCTAAAGGACAACCCGCAAACACCCCAACCCACCCACCACACAATACAAGAATACCTACGTAGGTATGAGTTGCCTAAACTCTAAACACACCACATTACACAACTAACCAGCCCCATCACTACCCAAGAAGTAATGAAACTTATAGAGTCGATGGCAAAGGGAAAGGCACTGGGACCGGATGGTCTTACCAATATATACTATGCAACTTTCAAACATGCATATGTCCACACATAACAAGAGCTTTCAATCAAGCTACACAACAGGGCAACCTCCCGACCAAATTCCTTGCAGCCCATCACCCTGCCCAAACCAGGAAAACCACCAACAATATGCCAAAACCTCAGGCCCATCTCTCTGCTGAATGCAGACGCCAAACTGTACGTTAAGATATACGCAGAGAGGCTTAAAACAATCTTACCGGATCTGATATCTACAGACCAAGTGGGATTAGTGTCTGGCAGACAAGGACCAGACAACTCGAGGAAACTACTAGACATTTTACATTACCTCAACAGCTCCAGAACACAAAAGAAAAAGCGTTTGACCGCCTTAATTGGCGATTTCTGCAGCGTGCGCTGTGCGGTTATGGATTCCCCTCCGAATTTCTCAATGTGGTGAAGGCCCTATATAGTTCCCCATCAGCTACAGTGCTAAATTCCGGATTCAGTTCCACCCCCTTCACAATTACCAACGGCACACGTCAGGGCTGCCCCCTCTCCCACTGCTTTATGTGCTTGCCCTGGAGCTGCTAGCAATAGCTATCAGAGCCAATCAGGATATTAAAGGGATCACCAAAGGAGGCAATGAATATAAACTTAACCTATTTGCAGATGACATCTTACTCACCCTAACCAATCAGTCAATATCACTCCCAAACCTACACAAAGAAATACGAGACTACAGCAGGCAATCATATTACCAGTTAAACCTAACTAAAACTCAAGCCATGTGTACAAACATATCAAAAGAAAAGGAAGAGAGATATCGACTTACATTCCAATACGACTGGAGAGACGACTTCCTAACATTCTTAGGCATAAAACTAACTAAAAAACACACAAACCTCTTTGCTACTAACTACATTAAACTAGCCAAAGAAGTAGAGCACATACTACACTCATGGCAGAATAAATTTCTGTCATGGCTGGGCCGAATAGCGGCTTTCAAAATGACAGTCCTACTGAAAATCCTCTACATGCTCCGCTCCCTGCAAATACCCCTGCCACAGTCGTACCTACAAAGGCTACAATCTAGTCTGATTAAATTTAGTTGGGGAGGGAAACATCCCAGGGTCCCTAGAACACTACTCATGAGTCCGACAGACAAATGGGGACTCGGATTCCCAAATCTTAAGGCATATTATTTGGCAACACAAACAGCTAACATTCTGGCTCCAACTTATACACCCACAAATGGATGGAGATTGAGGCCAGCTGCAGTGGGACACCTCGCGGCGGCTACGTGGATACCCAGACATTTGCGGCGTACACCCCTGAGCACCCTGTCCACCTCTAAACTTCTGTACAACACATGAGATAACCACAGAGACACGTTCTGCTCTGCCAGACCGTGGTCCCTGGTGATGCCACTACACACAATCAATCTCTGTAATGATACATTCCCACACAGAGCGTGGAGGGCTTGCAACCTCACACACCTTCACCAACTGTGCAACCTACAAGGCCTACACTTGCTCCCGATCATACAGTCCACACACGATCTACCACAGCGACTAACGTTCTCCTACTGGCAACTCAAAGCACTAATAGGTGACACCAAAGACAAGGACCCCACACCCACATATGACGCCACCCTCACTATCTTTGAGAGGATGTGCCTACACCAACTCCCAATTAAAAAAACACTGTCAGTTTGCTATAAACTGGTTACCGCACACAACACTGAACCCAATTGGCGGTTCCAAACCGAATGGCATAAAGACATAGGCAGGGACCTCACACAGGATGAAATGAACCACATTTACGCAACCCACAAGGGTCTTACTTCGTGTGCCTCCCATTTGGAGTCATCTCGAAAATTACTCTATAGATGGTACATGACAATGTCTTAAGAAAATGTACCCTAACACGGCTGGAGGTGTCTAACCCATGAGGGAGCAATGCTCCACATCTGGTGGACCTGCGCTTCGGTCCAGCCGTACTGGAGACAAATAGAAGATCTCATACGGGGTGCTACAGGGTGCATCTTAGAATACAATGTCGAAACCTTTTTACTCAAACTCTTGCCTATTAACATGCCATGTTGTATATCTAAACTAATATTCCTCATCCTCTCCTCGGCCTCCACATTATTAGCACGTCAGCGGAAAACCCCAATAATCCCCTCCATAGCGGAAGTAACCACACTGGTCTCCACAACACTGGAATACGAGACAATAGTGTGGCACCAAACGAAAATAGGCAAGGGGAGCACCACAGCAAAAGAACTTTGGAGGGCTTTTATAGAGGGACGGGTCCCTAGATGACTCCCTCAGAAGTAGCCAAAAGAGACAGAACAAAGATGACTGAGCAGAACGAAACAACGCTATGACATACTAGTTACACTGTTAAATCTAGTTAACCTTACCCCACGTGGCAGATAGCCACCAAAGGAGGGTTAGGATCAACCCAAAAGGGAGCAAACTGAGGAATGGCAAGCCTCAGAGGCGCAGGCGACAGTGAACCACACGGAGGTATAGAGGGGACAATAACTCCCCAATAAAGCAGGGTAATAAAAGACCTTCGGGTCAAAGGTCTAGAGGGCCATTAACATACCAAATGAGAGAGTGGAGGGATGAGGAGGAAGAGCACATTTGCAAGCGGATCCAATCCCTACACCAACCGCCCCCTCTTGTGCCCCTTACTCTTGGCACTTGTGCTCCGTCCCCACCCCGATACTACAACATCACACTAAGGTTAATCACCTACCATTACAGTAAGACAACTGCACAGGTGAAGATAAATAAAGCTATGCTATATCACCATAACCCTGATGTACTGAAGTGTTGTAAAACTGGCTTATCTGCATTTTTCCCTTATCCCCCTTTTCTTTTCTGTAACCCAAAAGAATAAAAATTGTCAAATTGAAAAAAAAGGCAATTAAAGTTGCTAAACTAGAAAATTAGAAATTGATAGCCAAAGAAAGCAAAACCAACCCCCCAAAAGTATATCAATTCTAAAAAAAAAAAAAAATGAAAGTGTAGGTACAATGGAATCAGAGATGGGTTTGTTAGCTAATTTAGACCAGGAAAAAAAGCAGACATTTTAAATAATTATTTTTCTTCAGTATATATTAATGAGGATCCTATGGCAAGAGATATGCAAATGATTGCTGCAAAAAACTTGCAGATAACTTGTGACTGGATAACTCGAGACAAGGTGCTACAGCTATTAATGAAAATTTATGTAAATAAAGCTCCGGGCCCTGATGGTAATCACCCACGAGTACTTAGGGAGCTAAGTGGGGAAATAAGTGAACCTCTGTATTTAATTTTTCAAGATTCTATTGTTTCAGGGATTGGAGGAAGGCAGATGTTGTTCCTATATTTAAAACAAGGGTTCAAAATCCTTGCCTGGAAATTATAGACCTGTGAGCTTAACTTCTGGGGCTGGGAAAATATTTGAAGGGCTATTAAGGGATAATATTCAGGAATTCATTGGGAAGAACTTTGTTATTAGCAATAATCATCAAGGTTTCATGAAACATAGGTCGTCAAACTAACCTAATTGCATTCTACGAAGAAGTAAGTAGAAGTATAGATCAGGGTGTTGCAGTGAATGTGATCTACTTGGATTTTGCCAAGGCATTTGATACGATTCCTCACAATAGGTTAGTCTTCAAACTAAAAGAAATTGGTATAGATGAATATTCCTGTTCTTGGGTAGGATAGAGTACAACGAGTTGTCATTAACCCCTTAAGGACGGAGCCAAATGTACACGTTGTGAACAAAACAAAATGTAAACAAAACCTGGCATTTGCGCTACATGTCTGTCCAACCGTAATTCACCTCTTTCATATTAAATACACCCACCCTTATTATATATCATTTTATTCAGGGGAAACAGGGCTTTCATTTAATATCAAATATTTAGCTATGAAACATAATTTAATATGAAACAAATGGGAGAAAATACGATTTTTAAAAAAATTTTAGTTCTACATGACATTTTAACGGTCAATGTCATAATACTGTTTGCTTTTACTGCAATAAAATACACATATTTTTATTCAGCAAAGTCTCACGTGTAAAACAGTACCCCCTATGTACAAGTTTTATGGCATTTTGGGAAGTTACAGGGTCAAATATAGCACATTACATTTGAAATTGAAATTCGCCAGATTGGTTACGTTGCCTTTGGGACTTTATAGTAGCCCAGGAAAGAAATTTACACCCATAATGGCATATCATCTGCAATAGTAGACAACCTAAGGTATTGCAAATGGGGTATGTCCAGTCTTTTTTAGTAGCCATTTGGTCACAAACACTGGCCAAACTGAGTGTTAGTATTTGTTTGTGTGTGTAAAATGCAAAAAATGCCAATTTTGGCCAGTGTTTGTGACTAAGTGGCTACTAAAAAAGACTGGACATACCCCATTTGCAATACCTTGGGTTGTCTACTATTGCAAATGGTATGCCATCATAGGGGTAATTTTCATTCTTGGGCTACCATAGGGTCTCAAAGGCAACGTAACCAATCTGGCGAATTTTAATGTGAAAAAAATGAAACACAAGCCTTATATTTGACGCTGTAACTTTTGAAAACACCATAAAACCTGTACATGAGGGGTACTGTTGTACTCGGGAGACTTCGCTGAACACAAATATTTGTGTTTCAAAACAGTAAAAAGTATCGCCGCC